GTGGCTGGCAGTTCCTGGGTGGTGAGTCAGGGTTGTGCCTCAGGCTCCCCATTTTGTAAGGTTGTGAGCCTGACCACCCACATGGCAACTGGTGAGGTTTTAACATAGCAACAGACACCCTCCCTGGACCCAGAAACAATACCATGGAGTTGATGTGACATGTCTTGGTGATTTGTGGTATGTTTCTGATAAGTGTGAACTAGATATAAACATTAATCACCCTCTTGGTAAGTCGTGTTAATGGCCAAAGCAAAATCAAGCACCTCTAGGGCATCCTTGGGACCAGGGTGCCAAAAAAAGGCCCCAGTGGGCTTGCAGCTGCCTGAGATCCCTCCAGAGACCTTTTGGATTCCAAATCCAGGCCCCTGTTTCTGGAAAGGAGTAAAATCCCCACCTTGAGCTCCAGAGCCAAGCCCTCCGCTTCCCTCTCCCTCTGAAGGTCTTTCCCGCCTCTGCTCTTGACCGAGGCACATGACAGTTAGCTCTGCTTTGCCCAGCTCCTGGTCTGTGGCCCCCAGGCTTGGCTATCCCAGACCAATTGCCTCTCAATCAAAATCTCGGCCAGGTCACAGATTACACGTACCCCGCGATCGTCTCCGGTGGCAATGAGGCAAAAATCCTAACATAGATGTTCTGAATGCAACTTAAAGGTGAGACTTGGTCAGTGGATGTTTAATGAAAATGTGCAGGTGCCCAGTTAAACATTCAGAAGGACAGAAAACAAACAAAAATAATCTTCCTTCCACCATCTACTCCCAGATCCACTGTACAGAGATAAACACCCTTCAACAGTTTCTTGTGGATTCTTGCAAAAATGTTCACGCACATCTTGGGTGACACAAATGAGTACACGCTACATACAATATTCCTCTGCATATTGCTTTCTTCTAACTTAATTTATCTTGGGAGATTGTTCCAAACCAGCATATGCTAATTTACCTTATTCTTTTTTTTTTTTAAAGATTTTATTTATTGACAGAGAGAGAGCACAAGCAGGGGGAATGGCAGGCAGAGGGAGAGGGAGAAGCAAGCTCCCCACCCAGCAGAGAGCCCGATGCAGGACTCAGTCCCAGGACCCCAAGATCATGACCTGAGCTGAAAGAAAGCAAATGCTTAACCAACTGAGCCACCTGGTGCCCCTACCTTATTGCTTTTAAACAGCTGCATACTATTCCAAATATATGGCACAGAATTTGTTGTTTTTTTCCTCACCAGCAGCCTTTCCACTTCCTTCCAGGAATAGCAGCCTGCATTTCCTTTGGGGAATCACATCTTCCTCCCCGGCAATCCCGCAATTTGAGTGCAGATGACCATGACCCCATCACCAGGCTTGGACAAATAGCCTGGACCCCAGTGCAATGACTGAGTCGGTGATGGACACATGACCCTGGCTGGGGCAATGCCAATCGTGGCCAGGGCTTTATTTGAACCATTAAGGAAAGAGAAGTCAGGGATAGAGACTGGACCATGTCCTGGCTTTGCAGCCACTTCACTGCATTAGAAGCCCTCTGAAATCCCAAGGGAATTGTGTTATCAGGGACACTGGCAAGTCACAAAGGCTGGTGTTGGCTCATCCCCAGGGCCATCTCCAGGCCCCGCTGTGCTGACGAGAAGCAGGCTGTGCTCAACCCGGGTGCAGAAAAGGTGATGTGGGGATTTACCAGCTGCCACTTTGCCCACCTTTATCGCCACAGTCAAATCCTGTAACTCTCATGGACTCTCCTGAGGACAATCTTTGGAGCAGCTTAGGGAAACCCCAGGCTGGGCCAAATTCTTCGCTGCTTCAAAGATTTATTCACCACGATCATCGTTTGATGTGCAGGCTGAGGAATGAACCAAGCCCATGCTCATTTCCTGGGCCTCCGTATCACTGGCAGTGAGTCTCACACTTGGCCTGAGATTGAGAAATCTCTTGGCCAAAGTCTTTTGATGAGCCCCACTATTTCCACTTCCAACATTCTATTTGTGTGCTCCACTTGGGGTCGCAAATAGGGGCTACATATAAGGGTTAGGTTGAGGATAAAGAAGATTCTAAGTGATCATATGGCCTGCAAAGGGGCTGATAGAAGAGGATGAACCCCACACATCACTGGGAACCTGTTGGTACAAAAAAAGGGGGGCAGGACAGAGGAGGCTTGTGTCAGCAAGATGAGCCCTGGGCCAGAGAGAAATACTTGACAGAGGGGAGCCTCTGCCCCAGCAGAGAAGCATTTCTTCAATAGAAAGATGCCTACCAAATGCCTCCTTTGGTCCCTTTGTCTTCCTGAACCCAAGAGAGAAGGACCTAGAAGACCCTGTGGTTTGAGCGGAGTAGTAGTGAATCATACAGCAATACTCACATGGACTTGGCAATGAGAATTTGATTGTTGACAGCCAAGAATAGCTGCTGTGAAGGAGACTATGCCAAAACATAACCATGTAATAAAATATGTTCTACAACCAGTACTTAGTTTTTCTTCTTTTTGGGTTGTTTTTCAATTTTTCACTTTATTTACTTTGGTAAAGTGAAGTGATTATAAATGATCTGTTCCTAGCCCTCTTTCTGCCAAGAGTGAAGATCTCCCTGGTGTCCACGGTAATGTGCCTTCTGGTTGCACATCCTAGGTGACTTGGTTGACTTCTGGGCATACACTAGTATGGTGGGAAGGCAACCTGACTTTCAAGCCCCATCCAAAGGAAGAGGCCTAGAAACCTGCAATGTGTGTGCAGGTTAGGCCCTCATCCATATGGAGACACAGGATTTGTTGAGGACGAGGGACCATACATGAGGGAACAGATGCGGGATGGGGATGTGAGAGGGAAAATTCAGGGGGAGAGCCTCAGGTGACTGTGGGTCAGCCAGGGAGGGAGTACAGGCTGGGTGAAGGCCATTGAGAAGCCCTGGCCTGGGAGTCGGAAAACCCACCAACCACTCACTTGCGGGGTGCAGCCTTCAGAAAGTGGCTCTTGACCAATTTTCAACCTAAACTTGGGATGTGGGCGGCCCGGGTGGCTCAGCGGTTTAGCACCTGCCTTCAGCCCAGGGTGTGATCCTGGGGCCCAGGGATTGAGTCCCGCATCGGGCTTCCTGCGTGGAGCCTGCTTCTCCCTCTGCCTGTGTCTCTGCCTCTCTCTCTCTGTGTGTCTCTCATGAGTACATAAAAATAAATAAATGAATAAAATCTTAAAATAAAAATAATAAACTGGGGCTGTGTGTCAGCTCCTGTGTGTGGAAGTCCCTGGCGCTTAGTGGTTGCTCACCTTAGTGGTTGCTCGCCTTAGTGGATGGCCGCCTTAGTGGATGGCCGCCTTAGTGGATGGCCGCCTTAGTGGATGGCCGCCTTAGTGGATGGCCGCCTTAGTGGATGCTCGCCTTAGCGGATGCTCACCTTGTGGATGCTCGCCTTAGTGGATGCTCACCTTGTGGATGCTCGCCTTAGTGGATGCTCACCTTGTGGATGCTCGCCTTAGTGGATGCTCACCTTGTGGATGCTCGCCTTAGTGGATGCTCACCTTGTGGATGCTCGCCTTAGTGGATGGCCGCCTTAGTGGATGCTCACCTTAGTGGATGCTCGCCTTAGTGGATGCTCACCTTGTGGATGCTCGCCTTAGTGGATGCTCACCTTGTGGATGCTCGCCTTAGTGGATGCTCACCTTGTGGATGCTCGCCTTAGTGGATGCTCACCTTGTGGATGCTCGCCTTAGTGGATGCTCACCTTGTGGATGCTCGCCTTAGTGGATGGCCGCCTTAGTGGATGCTCACCTTAGTGGATGCTCACCTTGTGGATGCTCACCTTGTGCATGCTCGCCTTAGTGGATGCTCACCTTGTGGATGCTCACCTTAGTGGATGCTCACCTTGTGGATGCTCACCTTGTGGATGCTCACCTTGTGGATGCTCGCCTTAGTGGATGGCCGCCTTAGTGGATGCTCACCTTAGTGGATGCTCACCTTGTGGATGCTCACCTTGTGCATGCTCGCCTTAGTGGATGCTCACCTTGTGGATGCTCACCTTAGTGGATGCTCGCCTTGTGGATGCTCACCTTGTGGATGCTCACCTTAGTGGATGCTCGCCTTAGTGGATGCTCACCTTGTGGATGCTCGCCTTAGTGGATGCTCGCCTTAGTGGATGCTCACCTTGTGGATGCTCACCTTGTGGATGCTCACCTTAGTGGATGCTCGCCTTAGTGGATGCTCACCTTGTGGATGCTCACCTTAGTGGATGCTCGCCTTAGTGGATGCTCACCTTGTGGATGCTCGCCTTAGTGGATGCTCGCCTTAGTGGATGCTCACCTTGTGGATGCTCGCCTTAGTGGATGCTCGCCTTAGTGGATGCTCACCTTGTGGATGCTCGCCTTAGTGGATGCTCGCCTTAGTGGATGCTCGCCTTAGTGGATGCTCACCTTGTGGATGCTCGCCTTAGTGGATGCTCACCTTGTGGATGCTCGCCTTAGTGGATGCTCGCCTTAGTGGATGCTCACCTTGTGGATGCTCACCTTAGTGGATGCTCGCCTTAGTGGATGCTCGCCTTAGTGGATGCTCACCTTGTGGATGCTCGCCTTAGTGGATGCTCACCTTGTGGATGCTCACCTTGTGCATGCTCGCCTTAGTGGATGCTCGCCTGGCTGTCAGGTGTCCCTGGCCTTGCTGCCCTGGGACCGTTGCTGCCTCGCTGGTCTCCTCCGTGCAGTCAGGGCCGCGGGCAGCCCCCCGCCCGCGCTCTGGCTCCGGGACAGCAGAGGGGGCCCGCATTGTCCCGGCTTCAGCCCCGCCAACCTCGCTCGCGTCCTGGGGGGCTGGGAGGTGCCGCCGCAGGGGAGCCGCGCCGCTCGCTCCGCAGCACCTGGCGCCCCGCCCAGGGAGGGGGGGCAGGCGGGGGGCGAAGCTGCCGCCGCTCCGCGCCTCCCTCGCGTCCCCTCCCGCCCCGCCCCGCCCCGCGCCCGGCTCCCGCGGAGGCTGCGGCTCGGCGGGCGGAGGCGACGGGCACCCGCGGCACAGAGCGCCCGGCGCGGCGGAGCGGGCCATGGAGCCGGCCCGGGAGGCCCCCGCGCGGACCCGGCCGCCGCCGCCCGCCGCCGCCCGCCCCGCGCCCGCCGCGCCCAGGCCGCGCTCGCCCGCGGAGGCGGAGGCGGGGGCGGAGGCGGAGGCCCGCGGCCCCGAGGCGCTGCTGCGGCGGTCGGGGTCGGGCTACGAGGGCAGCACCAGCTGGAAGGCGGCGCTGGAGGGTAAGCGCGCGGCGGCGGCGGCGGCCCGGCCCGAGGCGGTCGGGGTCACCTTGGCCGAGCTCCCGGAGGGCAGCGGCTGCCTCGCGGCGGGGACGCGGGGGACGTGGCTGGGACCGGCCCGGCGGCCGAGCGCCTCTGCCCTTGGGAGCCCGCTTCGGGCCCGGCCCCTGCAGCGCGCGGGGGACGGTCACCGACTGGCCCCGTCCGGCGGGCGAGGAGAGACGGTGGCTTAAATCTGCAGCAGTGCAAGTGGTTTGGGCAGAGCGACAAGAGGTGTAGAGCCCGAGACGGTGCGGGTGCCCCGGGAAGTGGGGGTGGGGCTGTAGGGCTGGTGGCCAAGGGGGCATAGGGAGGGAGGGAGGGGGAGACGTGGAGCACATGCCCCGCTCTTCCTTGCAAGGTCACGCGGGCCACCCACCCCTTCCAGGCAGGTGGGCTCGGGGAGGGACCTCTGCTAGCCAAGCGGGCAGTAACCCACTGAAAAATAGATCTCAAGTTCCCGAGTTCTGTGGGGAAACTTTGTGGCTCCAGGTGGTGGGTGGTGTGGGAGATGCTCCAGCTGGCAAGGGAGAGGGCTGGCCCTCTGGACCGCGGGGTGCTGCTGGCAGAACCTGGGGATCTGGGCAGCGGTATTAGCTAGGGAAGCCCAGAGCTGTGGTCACCCAACCCCTAGGGACCAAGTATTATTAGAGAAGGAAGGCTTTCTGGAGTGGGTGACCCCTTGGGTGTGGAGAAAGGCAGGGTGCACCAGGCTCAAGGAGCGTCACGTTCCGGGGCCAGGTGGCCAGAACTAGCCTGGCTCTTGTGGCAAACTGGACTCTGCAGTACCAGGCTGTGGGAAGGGATGGGAAGACAGGACCCTGGAGGGCCCAGACCGTGAGTGGCCACCCAGGCCTCGCCAGAGAGTTGGGACTTGGTTCTGCAGGAGCTGTTGAGAGGTTTTACATATAGAATGAGACGGTGGGTTTGCCCTTGGGAGAGTGGCCAGGTCAGTGAGGAGGGTAGAGTGGTGGTCGGTGGCGGGACCTGGCCCACGCCTGCCAGGGCAGGTGCCTCGCCAAGGAGGGAAAGGTGAGGGCAGTAATGTTAGCATCTGACCCGGAGGCTAGTGGGGCAGGACGTGGACTGCCCGGGGAGGGGGCTCTGAAAACTCGGGAGGGAGGGTGGACTGATGCCTGGATGGGGGTTTGGGACGAAGGAAGCAAAGGTGTTGGGTCACGGAGTAGAAGAGCCACTGCGGGCTGGGAAGAGCTGAGTTGAATAAAGGTGGACAAACCCCTCTCCCTGCCCGGCATTGTCTGTGATCCCTGCTTCCCTCCCGCCCAAGCTAGTTCTTGAAGTGGCTCCCGCCTTTTGCCTGTGTGTCTTCATTCAGACAGAAGCGGTCCTGCAGGGGCGGCCCTAACCTAACTCCAGCCCCCTGATGGTTAGGGCCGCCTCGGGGGTGATGTGGCCTCTTTCAATGCCTCTCCGGCTTGCTGGTTCCTATTTTACCTCCTGCCCCCAACTTTGACCCGTTCTGCTTCCTGCTCCCAACCTGGGCTGGGCCGACCACCTGCAGGAAGGCAGCCCAGTGGGACACTGGCCCTCGGCCCCTGCAGAATCCAGCCGATCCGTACTCAGTGCCGACTTGTGGTCCGGCCTTGTCTTGCCTGTCCCGGTGTGGCTCTGCATCTCATGCCACCTCTGTTTCTCCCCGTGGTCCACTCGGAAGCAGCCCACCCTTAATGCCTGTGAGCCTCAGAGGCTCAGCAGCTGAGGCCTATGGACTGTTTTTTGTTTTAAGTAGGCTCCACACCTAGCCCAGAGCCCAGCATGGGGCTTGAACTCACCACCCTGAGATCAAGACCTGAGCTGAGATCAAGAGTTGGTCACTCAACTGACTGACCACCCAGGCACTCCCCTATGAACCTTTTCTACAGTAGTTTTAGTATCTGGGTCTGAGTCCAGGGGGTTCTCCTCCACCGATGCTCCGAGGGCCTACTGGGTGTTCCCTGGGCATCCCCATCTCCTGTCAGAGGAGGGGACCACAGGGACTGGGGCTGGTCTCTCTAGGGTGTTGCTATGCAGGCAGAATCACAGGACGGGCTGAGGCAGGTGGTGAGATTCAAGGAACACAAACTCTGGAGTCAGGTAAACCCAGGCCAGAGCCTTCCACCACTATGGACTGGCGGGTTTTCAAACTTGAGTCTCACTTTCCTTACATATAAGCTAGATAATGATTTCCACCTCTCAGGGCCATCCAGATAAAGGTGTAGAGGGGTACGCTGTGCAGGTGACTCCTCTCCCTGGCTCTGTGCCTTGGCATCCTGCATCCCTGATTGGGGAGCTCAGCTGAAACCCTTTTTGACTGCTGGCCTACCTACCTTGAGTCTGCTTCCCCTCCCCAACTGAAGTCCACATAACGAGCCCAGTTGCCTGACCCAAGACACTACCCATGATGGGATGATGGGTCGCCCAGGTCTGGGGACCAAGGGCCATGCAGCCCTTAACAGCCTAGTACCTGTCTTGAGACAAGTGGGAGACTTTTTGACTGGATCATGCTAAACACTCAGGGGGGCCTATGCTCCTTTATTATCATGCGCCAGACGTTTCTGAAGCGCGTGTGCTGGACCCCTTGCCGGGGGCTTTCACAGTACTGTCCCACTTACTCCTTGCACATACCCTCCGGGGACCGGTGAGCACTATATCTGTTTTGCAGATGGGGGACCAGACTCGGAGGGGCTAAGTGTCTTGCCCAGGGACACACGCTGCTTGCCAACGCATGTTTGCCACAAGGACCCTCTGACGTGAGAGTTCTTGTGTCGTCGGGCATGGACCAAGGACGTTGGGCTTCATGAAGCTCATTGGTCCGAACTGAATTGTATTTGTGATGCGTGTACCTCTCTTGCCCATGCTCCTCAGACAACCCTGCCACCTCCAGCATGGACATTTTTTTCCTTCTCACGGCTTAAGTGAAATGGAGAATTTCTTAAATGTAAACCAGGATTAGAGCTTAGGACTTCGCGACTTTCCTCCGATAAACAATTAACTTTATAAATAGAAAGCCAAACAGAAGTTCTCCTGATCAAGCCTTCTTCTCTTCCTGTGGCTATTACCTTTTCCTTCTACCCTTCCACCACCCCCTAGCCTTGCGGGAGGGGCTGGGCAAGGTGACCCAGAGCTTCAGCCTGGGTTCTAGAAAGACTGGGGGTGATTGGAGACGGGGATATTTCTGGCATCGGGGGTGGGGATGGGGAAGAGTGGCCTGGGGGTACAGCGGGGGACAGAGTGGTTCTGCATATCACCAGGCTATAGATTTTTCAGAGCTCACCGATTCTGAATTTTTAATGTTGAAAGTTTCTTGATTAGGCACCAGCCCACAACTTCCTGATCAAAACCACACACATGCATTTAGCAAAGCCTTTTAAAATTTAAAAATTACCAAACTCTACATTTGATAGTTTCAAAGAGTCAAGACTATGCTCACCAGACTCTGGCCCTGACAACTCAGAGAGATCAGCGGTGAGTCTCTTCTGGGTTCTGGGTGTGAGGCCGATGAGACATCTGTCCGAGTCGGGAGCCAGATTTTCAGCTGTCCCTTCCGGCATGAGGCTCAGTCATATACATTTATAAACACAAATAACTGTACTTGCCAAGTCCATCTATTATGGACCATTGCATAGAAGGAATGAGTGTAGAGTTAGACAATTTTTTTTAAAGATTTTATTTATTTAATTGACACAGAGAGAGTGAGAGTAAGCAAGCACATGGGAAGCAGTGGAGGGAGAGGGAGAAGCAGGCTCTTCACTGAGCAACGAGCCCGACGCAGGGCTTGATCCCAGGACCCCGGGATCATGACCTGAGCCGAGGGCAGACGCTTAACTGACTGAGGCACCCAGGGGCCCCGAGTTAGACATTTCTTATGGCTTGAATTTTATCTCCCCCTGCCCCCCCAAAGAAATGTGTTGAAGTCCTAAGCACCAGCTCCTCAGGATGGGATCTTATTTACAAATGTGGTCATTGCAAGTGTGATGAGTTAAGATAGGCACATCCTGGAGCGGGTGGGCTCCTAATCCAAGGTGACTGGTGTCCTCACAAGACAATGGTCACATAAAGTCAGAGCCACAGGAAGAAGGTCATGTGAGTAGAAGGCAGAGCCTGGAATGAGAGGACTGCAAGCCGGATGAGGAAGGTCGCCAGCAAACCCTCAGAAGCCAGGAAGAAGCAAGCAAGGACTCCCCCAGCTTTCAGGGGGAGTGCGGCCCCCTTGGCACCTTGACCGTGGACTTCTGGCCTCCAGAACTGTGAGACAATAAACTTGCGGTGTTTGAAGCCATCTAGTGTGTGGGGCTTTGTTACCGCCACCCTAGGAAACAACACAGCATTGATTTGGATCATCAGGCCCCATAGCCGGCTCCCGTGGGTGCAGCTGGAACAAGGAAGCAGGACTCCCTGGAGCGTCCTTTTGCTGCCCACAGTGCCGTGTCCAGAGCAGTCGTCCCCGTGCAAGAATGAAGGGGTCCCGGGTTCTGGTGATATTGGAGAAACATGCGCGGGTGCCCCACCCCCAGAGAGCAGCTGTGTATCTGTGTGGCCTTTCCCACCAACTCAGCCGGGTTTAAGGCTAAGGACATTCTCATTCAGTGTAGCCAAATCCCCCTCAGGATTTTGAGTGCCAGTGGGTGCTCTGTTAACATGCGAGGCAAGGCTACTCTAGGGAATCCAAAGGGGAGGAAAGCATAGCCCTTTCCCTAAAGGAGCCTGTGGCTCATCATCATCATCATCATCATCCTGATGGCAATTGCTAACATTGAATCAGAGCTTGCTATGCTGGACACCGTGTTAAGCACTGAACATTGGCTTCTTGTAAAAAATTTAAGAGGCAGATACTACTACTCTTTCATTTTAAAGATGAAGAAAATGAAATAAAATAGAAGTGAAGTAACTCTGCCATCTAGAAAAAGTGAAAAGTGGCATCTAGAAAGAGATGGAGCTGGAATTTGGACCTGTGCATCTTCCATGCACAGACTTACAGTGCCAGTGTGTGCAGGCCTGGAAGGGGGCGGAGAGAGGAGAGAGGAAGGATCCGTACACACACTCATGAGACAGCTCAGGGGGGGATCAGCCCTGCGACAAGCTGTCATTGAGGACAACCAAGCAGTGGGTGAGGGCAGGCATGAGTCTCTGCTCTTACCAAGCCTGCAGCCACCTGTTCCTGGACTCCTGGTCACTTGCCAGCACAGACCTTGCTCGTAGGAAGGATTTCAAAATGTTGCCTGCCCTTGCAGGTAAAGATGGCAGACTGAATGCATGCAGTTTTCCTCTTTCCTTCCAGAAGCCCATGAAAACAACAGTAAAGGGATTTTTTAAAAGGCCATAAGGACAAGGAGAACGAGAGAGAAGACAATAACAATACAGTTGGGAGCTAGGGATCAATGATGAGTGGCAACTGATCCTAGGGGCCTGCGGGGAGCAGAGGAGCAGCCTGAGTCACATGCAGGACCCCCAAAGTATGGAGAGGGGGGCACCAGTCATCATGGCACTGAGTGAAGACAGAGCTCAAACAGGAGGGCTGGTTGAACATTTTAGAAAGGATTTAGTTGCCCAGGTCCTCTTCCCTGCCCTGGCAGGAGCCTGAGGCTAAATCTGAGAGAGGGCTGAGAGGGCAGTACATTTGGGAGCAAGCAATTAGTGGGACATTTACATAATGAATGCTTAGGATGGCCTCCCAGCCTCTCCTCCTTGTCAAGCCTACACCCTTCAGGAGGGAACAGAAGAACCTTCTACAGGAACTGGCCCGCCCTAGGGGAAAAACCTGAGGAAGTTAGCATTCAGAGCACCCCGAGGACCACCCCAGCCTGGTCACTCTGCTGGGACCCCACAGCTGATAAGCCCCTCCCTGGGCTCAGAGGCTCCAATGGACTCTTTCTTCTTGCTTTAATCAGAAACAAATAACCAAGGATCTCCAGATATCTGAGGAAATTCTATGACATGGAAACTAGAGACCAAATGATCAGAAAAGAAAAATAGCAATTTGGGGGAAACAGACTATACAGGGAGAAATAAACTTTCTATCCACCTCTCCTTTCTTCCCCCGCCCCCTCCAAAAAACTATCAGTCATATCCTCAAAGAGAGCAGAGAAAATATGGCATCATTTTTAAAAAAGATTTATTTATTTATTTTAGGTAGGGACGGGGCAGAGAGAGTCCCAAGCAGACTCCATGTGGAGCACAAATGTGGACCCTGGAGGCCAGGCTGCTTCCTACCATGCTGAGATCAAGACTCGAGCCAAAACCAAGAGTCAGACACTCAACTGACTGCACCACCAAGGCAACTCCCATATGGCATCATTACAAACAGGATGCTCTGAGAGGGGATCTTCAGAGAACAGTGGCAAACCACAACAAAACAAAACAAAAAACCCTGGAAATTAAACATAATTGCAGAAATGGAAAATTCAGGAGAGAGTAGGAAGATAAAGCTGAGAAAAACTTTCCAGGAAATAGAGCAAAAAGGCAAAAAAGATAATGGGTAAGAAAGAAAAAAGGAAAGAAACTCAGAGGACCAATTCAAGTGATTCAACATCTGAAGAATATGACCTCCAGAAAGTAGACAGAGAAAGTGGGTGAGAGGAAACCACTGATGATATAATTAAAGAAAATTTCCTGGAACTGAAGGACATGAACTTTCAGATTGAATGGGCCCACTGATTGCCTATTTTAGTGGGTGAAAATGGACTCAAACTAAGCATGGCATGTGTGATGAAATTTTTAAAAAATTTTAATTTATTTACTTGTTTGTTTTTTATTTATTCATGAGAGACACAGAGAGAGAGGCAGAGACACAGGCAGAGGGAGAAGCAGGCTCCCCGCAGGGAGCCCGATGTGGGACTGGATCCCTTGACCCTGGGATCCTGACCTGAGCCAAGGGCAGATGCTCAGCCACTGAGCCACCCAGGTGCTCCAAATTTTTATTGTTCAATTCTTTTTATTTTTTTCTTTATTCATTTGACAGAGAGAGAGCGAGAGAGAGTGAGCAAGCACAAGCAGGGGAGTGGCAGGCAGGGGAGAGGGAGAAGCAGGCTCCTTGAGCAGGGAGCCTGACAAGGACTCTGATCCCAGGACCCTGGGATCATGACCTGAGGCAAAGGCAGATGCTTAACTGACTGAGCCACCCAGGTGCCCCATGCATGATGAATTTTTAGAAGATTATGTGATAAAGAAAAGATCCTAAAAGCTTCCCAGGGCATGGGGAGTGGGGGCAGAAGCAATTGATATTAAAAAGATCATGGATGAGAATGGCTCTGGAGCCATTTTTCAAGAGCAACACTGGAGCTAGAAGACAAGTAATGCCTTCAATATTCTTTTTTTTTTTAATTTTTATTTATTTATGATAGTCACAGAGAGAGAGAGAGAGAGAGAGAGAGAGAGAGAGGCAGAGACACAGGCAGAGGGAGAAGCAGGCTCCATGCACCGGAAGCCTGATGTGGGATTCGATCCCGGGTCTCCAGGATCGCGCCCTGGGCCAAAGGCAGGTGCCAAACCGCTGCGCCACCCAGGGATCCCCCTGCCTTCAATATTCTGAAGGAGAATTCTTTCCAACCTATAGTCTTCAGGGCTCTGGGTTCACAACTCTAGAGGCAGGACATGGTGAAAGTTTGCTGCTGGGGGATGTGCAGTGGTCTTGCTCTGCCCTATCTCAGGCACCTGTTGGAAGATGTGCTCCACCAAAGCAAGGGAGTCAACCAAGAAAAAGGATGTTGTAGGACAGAAGGTGTGGGAGAGGCCGCACACGAGGGAGGCAGAGAGGTCCTCAGGCTGCTGGCGAGGGGAGCTTCCAGGGTGGCAGGTGGGCTTAGAAGGCAAAATCAGGGGTGCCTGGGTGGCTGAGCTGGTTAAGCAGCTGCCTTTGGCCCAGGTCATAATCCCAGGGTCCTGGGATAGCCCCACCTCAGGCTCCCTACTCAGTGGGGAGTCTGCTGCGCCCTCTGCCCCACCCCCAGTCGTGCTCTTGTGCTGTCTCTCTCAAATAAATAAATAAAATCTTTAAAAAAATTTTTAAAAAGAAAGTAAAATCAGATTGGAACAGCTCAGAAGGTTCTGAGGGACACTACTTCAAGAGCATTATTAGGGACTGGGTGTTTGTGTCCCCCCAGGAGTCAATCAACAGATGAATGGCTAATCAACAACAAATATACATATATACATATACAACAAATATATATATATGTATATATATATATATTCATACAATGGAATACTATTCAGCCATAAAAAGGAATGCCCTTCTGACACATCGTACACATGGATGAACCTTGAAAACACTAACTTAAGTGAAATAAGTCAGACACAAAAGGACAGATAATGTATGATTCCCCTTCTATGAAATCTCTAGAATAGGCATATTCATAGAGACAGGAAGTAGATTAGAGGTCACCAGGGGCTGTGGGAGGTGGGAACTGGGAGTGGATGCTTCAATAGTACCGAGTTTCTGTTTGGGGGGTGAAAAAGTTTTGCAAATAGACAGTGGGGATAGTTGCACAACAGCATGAATGTAATTGATGCCGCTGTGCACTTAAAAATGGTTAAAATGGCAACTTTTATGTTCTATTTTATGACAGTAAGAGAAACTTAAATAGAGTCTGTGTCTAAAGTTGAAAAGGGTTCTTCCATTAAAAATAAAATAGAGGGATCCCTGGGTGGCTCAGCGGTTTGGCGCCTGCCTTTGGCCCAGGGCGCGATCCTGGAGACCCGGGATCGAATCCCACATCGGGCTCCCGGTGCATGGAGCCTGCTTCCCCCTCTGCCTGTGTCTCTGCCTCTCTCTCTCTCTCTCTGTGACTATCATAAAAAAATAAAAAAAAATTAAAAAAAATAAAATAAAATATAAATTTTCAGTGATGACAAAAAAATAAATAAAAATCAGAAGGCGGGGGAAGGCAGCGGGTCAGGGGAGGTTTGGTGAAGAGGGTGGACGGTGTGAAGCTGGGCAGGATTCTAGAGGTAGCAGTGGTGGAGAAGAGCTCTGGGGGCAAAGACCCAACCCCAGGGCTGTGAGGACGGGCTGGGTTCTTTCAAGGAGTCCACGTGGCTGACCCTGGGGAGGAGGTAGGGAAGCAGCAGGAGAGGAGGACTGAAAGCTCTGACCGCTGCGGGAAGGGCAAGGGCAGAGCCTTGGAGGGAGGGGTTTGGGGCAGCAGTGCCACAGATTCGGAAACGGGCTCTGGAACAGAGGCTCTCAGACTTCAGCGCGCATCAGATTCCTGCAGAGGGCTTGGAAAAACTCAGATTGCCGGGTCCAGGCCAGGGTTATCCCAGTATCAGGACTTGGGGCTGGCGGTGGGGCTTGGCAGCGGGGTGGATGGCTGGGTACTGACCCGCTTTCTTCTCTCCTCAGACACCACCACACGTCTCCTGCTGGGGGCCATCGCGGTCCTTCTGTTCGCCATCCTGGTGGTGATGAGCATCCTGGGTGAGCATGGATGTCAGACATTTACGGGAGTCAGTGTGTACACACCTTGTCAGTATCACGTCTAATTAGGTAAAGAAAGGTTCCAGAAGGTTCTGTGGGGCACGAAGCTTAGGAAACAGACTGCTGCTGTTTCTAGGTGAGAGTTTAGCCTAAAATAATACATGCACACGTTGACTCCACACGTCCCCTTTACGGAGCCACACGGGGAGGTAGTGAGGAGACTCCGGTACTATTCCGTACATGCTACGAGGATGCAGAGCCAGCTTGAGGTGAGTTAGACACTGCTTCTTGGAGGAGAGGGTTTTGGGATGAGAGCCTTTACAGATCACATTCATTCATTTAACACACATTTAGGGAGCACTGCTGTGTGTTAGGCCCCCTAAATGCTGAGGATTTTTTTTTTTTTAAAGGATGAGTTATGACATCATCTCCTCTGTCCAGTTACGGAGGCCTCACTGCCCCGGGGGTGGGGTTGGGGGCTTCTTATGTGGGATGAAAGGGAGAAAGGAATAAAAGGGAGGAAGTCCTCTAAGAACAGGCAAGGCTGTATGACCAGGAGATTGGGCTGCTTTCAATGGATTCAAGTCAAAGTGTGTTGTGGGCTCTGATGGGTTTGCAAAGTGATTTCAGTGCCTCTGTCTTTAATCTTTGAGGAGCACCATAAGACCAGAGGCAGGCGCCTACAAAGGGGAGGAAGGTCCATTGACAGCATTAGCTCCCATGAAATCCTCACCTTTGGACGTGCATGATAATCAGGGGCTTTGTGGGTGTTTGGAAAAGAATTTGGTGACCATTGGTGCCAGCTTAGATTCACCTAGAATAATTACTACAAACTAAGTTCGTTTCCTTTTGTCCTCGTGCTAGCTTGGGAAGGTCAGAGCCATGCGAAGACATAGTGTGTTGTGATTGTAGTAAAGGACAATAGAGTCTCTCTGGAGGTCCTTGTGGAAAGTAGTTGAAATGTGGCCACACCATGCTCAATACTTCCCAAGTAGTCCTGCGGCTCACTGAGCAGATATGCCAGAGTGTCGATGATTTAATTGGTGTCGAGTGGCCCTAGATCCCTAGAGGCTGGAGTACTGTGGGCCTGTCCTTGGCTCTGTCTTTGTCTACATTTTAATCAATCACTTGCATGAAAACAAACAAAAAGATGCGTATGGAATTTGTAGGTGATACGAAGATGCTCAGGATGACAGATGAAGGATGTTTAATATGACAGGGTGGAAAAAATCAAGATCAAAATTCATCTTTCAAAACTCAGATGAGCCAGTGTGAATGAGATAAAGGTGGAAGAAATAAGAATAAAATCTTCAAATGGATTGAAAAAGTGATTTCTACATGTTCTGGATGTGGGGGGAGACCTGGCTTGGAAATAGATCACATGGAAACAATCGAAGAGTATTTTTTGCCCACCCAGAAAAGCACGCATGCACATACCCACTGTTTCTTTTCATGGACATGGTCTGTAGCCTGGAAGGAGCCCATAGCAACTGGAAGGAGTGTGGCAATCACTGTTGTTGGGGGTAAGACCACATCTGGTGTGTTCCGGTCTGTTCTGGTGGCAGCATTTTGGTGACAATGTGGACACACCGCAGTGAGCCAGGCAGGATGGAGAAGGGTGTGGACAGCATCCTCTCCAAGAAGCTGTGGAAGAGATGGTGCCCACTGAAACCTGGATGTGAGAAGGCTGGCATCCTTCTTCGAATAGGCGGTAGAAGGTGGACTGGGCTTGCTCTGAGTCACTCCAAGGCCAGATCCTAGACCTGTAGGGCCAGGTCACAGGAAGGCAGGTTGGGACTCAGCTGAAAATGAACTTGACAGCAGTTCAGCAGTGGAACAGGTTGAGCTGTTACTAATGAGGGCATGGCCAATGAGATCAGGCCCACCAAGCCTGCAGATGGTTCCCACCCTGGTTGGAAAGCATGGACATGTGGTCTCCAGGTCCTGATTTCTAGATCTGTGTTTCTGCACTTCCATGCCTTGGGGAGTTTGGGGAGAGAGAGGAGATCTTAACCCAGGGGCTAATCTGCTGTCACTTCCCCTGGGGGTGATACTGCCTCCAAACCAGCCTCCAAATTTCCCTTCCTTGTTTATTTTTTAAAAGATTTTTTCAAGACGGAGGGGCGGGGGGAGAGCGCACCAACAGGGAGGAGGATCAGAGGGAGAGGGAGAAGCAGACTCCCCACTGAGCCGGGAGCCTGATGAGGACGCTGAGATCATGACCCGAGCCTGAAGGCAGACCCATAACCCGCTGAACCACCCAGGTGCCCTTTCCTTCCTTATGTATTTGGTCACCAACCTCTTACCTGCCAGGCACTTTGAGAGGTGCTCATCTGGGAAGACAGCCACCTGGGTCATCACTGGAGGGCACCAAAGTCAGGCAGGTGGAGGGAGCTTTGGGTCGCTGAGCAGGATTCTTCAGGCCCGGGCAGGGGCCAGGTGTGCTGTGGACACTGAGTCCCCTCCATCTCCCCTGCAGCTTCCAAGGGCTGTATCAAGTGCGAAGCGCCCTGCCCGGAGGACTGGCTGCTCTACGGAAGGAAATGCTACTTCTTTTCTGAGGAGCCAAGAGACTGGAACACAGGCAGGCAGTACTGCCATACTCATGAGGCCGCGCTGGCTGTGATTCAGAGCCAGAAGGAGCTGGTGAGCGCTGGGCCGGGGGTGTCCTTCGGGGAGAACCCTGCTGCTGGGATCTGGCGTCCCCTGTGACATGTTTCCAGAGCACGTGTGCCTGGGGTGTGCTGGTGGGCCCTGTAGGCTCCAGGCACATTTCCAAGGGGCTCCTGTTCCACTGCTGTTGTGAAAGCCAGTGATCTCAATCCAAGGCTGGTTTGCTGAGCTCAACTCAGCATCATAAAGTGTGAGGATTACAAATCATAAATGCGCTTGTGAATAAAGAACACACTGGCACCTTCCACTGGTCCATATCAGGACATGAGCACCCACTGAACACCCGAAACAGTTTTATCAGTAGAAATGGGAAAGACACACAGTGAATGACTCTGTTGCTCACTTTGGATTCTGAGGGTAACAGTGGCGATCCGAAATAGCAGGTAATCTCACAGTCACTTCCGTTTGTCTCTGATAAACAGTATAATGTCTCCTTGCTGCAGAGAAAGGCCCAGCAGTATGTGCGTAGGACAACCAAATTGAACGTTGTGCTTTGTCCCAGATAATCCATCAAATGGGCAATTCCAGGCTTCCTGCAAATCAGGAATGCTGACTGGCAGGCTGGACCGCTGAGCTAGGAGGACAAATCTTGTTCCAGGTGCCCTGCTCTGGTGGGCGTGCTCCCAGGGCCCAGGGCCTAACAGCTGCTGAGAGGGAGGTCAGTGTGAGTGCAGGGCCCTCTCTGACCCCAGCTCCGTACTTTCAGGGTGCAGTGAGGGATTCCCTTTTCAGTGTCTGTGTATCTGGGAGCCCATCTTCTGATCTGAGGTTAGTCCTGGGATGTATGAAAAGTTGGGAGACTGCAGAAAACTCGGGCTTTTCTCTTTCCTTGGTACAGGAGTTTATGTTCAAGTTCACACGGAGGGAGCCCTGGATTGGTCTGCGCAGAGTCGGGGATGAATTCCACTGGGTCAACGGGGACCCGTTCGACCCGGACACGTGAGCTGAGGCTTCATCTTCTGGCCACTAAGACTGGGAAGGGCCTAGCTCCCCAGACAGCACCTCCCGAGGGAGAGAGAACCAGTTGGTTCTCTGCGCGCTAGAGCTAGTGACCTCAGGGCTCAGCAGCATGTGGCCGAGATCATGATAATGAAGATGGCTTTACTTCTCGCTCTCTATCCCCTAATGCCCAGCCTGGTTCGGCGGCTCTCCTGTATGTGGTCATCAGAGCTTCCTGCTAATGGGGCCCAGGTTCCTTCCATCTTGTGGCTCCCCACCCATGTAGATGCTCTTCTGCATGGCTCATTGTGGCTCAGAGGAAGGGGAAGACATACCCTAGATGTCCCTCTTCTGTGTTGGCCAGAACGTAGCCACATGACCATAGCTGCCTTCGAGGGAGGGGGGATGGGGCCTCTATTCTGGGCAGCTGTGTGTTGCCTAAACATTTTTCCTATGGAAGAAAGGGGCTCAGGCCCCTGGGCACCGTGAATCCTCTCTTAGAGAAAACACCGCTGGAGTATGCTGGTAGTGTGTGCAGTGCTGGGATTGCTCACACAACATGAGAGTGTGACGGGGTGGCAGGTGTGTGATATCAGGGACTGGTTTGCAGGGGTGCTGAGGGCAGTGGTCATGGGTGGTGGGGGTGGGAGTGTCTGGCTGAGGCAGTGGGGGTAGTGATAGTGTGTGTGTGTGTGTGTGTGTGTGTGTGTATGGGGGGGTGATCCAGGCTTAGGGGAACACAGAGGAGGGCATATAGGGGAATAAGAACCCAAATTCCTAGTCCAGACCCTAATAGGCCCTGAGGAGCCTGGTGGGGGCACAGCTGCTCACATGATGATGATGATGATGGAGGAGGGTCCACAAGGTATAAGAAGTGGGAGGGCACCCAAGAACCCCCGACCCTCCACCATGGCTGGAAGCTGGTGATCAGCTACCTTCCCATTTGAGGCTGGCTCAGGGCTGCATTAGTCCCTGTGACTCCGGAGGGTGAGCATCCAGTCAGCCTCTTCCCTCCTTTGCCCCGGCTCCTGTGCCCTTCATTTTGCACCTCTCTTTGTTTTCATTTTCTCTTCCTTTTCTTCTCTTTCCTTTTCCTGCCTTCATCCCAGATCTATCATTAGAGCTGCTGAGATGTCTTGCACTTTCTGCCCCTTTCTCTTCCCTCTGATAGCTTCCTGCTCCCAGAACCTGGGAGAACCCTGGAGGCTGGGGTTCCCAGCATGCTGACCATCGGCCAACCAAAGGGCCTTTGGGCTCTGTCTCCCTGGCTCTGAGGTGGTCCTACCCGGCACTCCCTCTTGAGGTCCTTCTGGTGCCCTTTCTTGTGAGACCCCAGCTCCAGCCTTGGCAGGGGCCTCAGATCAGGCTGACCAAGTGAGATTAAGAAGAAATCTTGAAATTCCACGGAATGATTTTAGCTAGAAAGGACCCTCATCCCCTACATCTACCGAAGATGGCAGGGAGTTCGTGGGCAACACAGCCTGGGTAGCAAAGGCTGGGGTTAATCAGGTCCACCCCTGTGATGTAGTTTCATTCAGCTCATCTCTGCTGAGCAATTCCTGTGCTAGATGCTCTGTGCTGTAGGGGAGCCAAGACAAGAGAGGCATGGAGCCCACTGCTCAGGAGTGACCACCCGGGGGACTGGTGGGGACAGACAGACACAGGCTTCCATGAAGCTGTGACGAGTGGTGCCCCCTGGCTCAGGCAGGTGCTGCGGGGCAGAAGGGTGGGCAGAGGGGGGTCCTGAACACGATACTGGCTCATGGCACAAGCGAGTTGACTTTGGAAGGATGGGAAAGTGCAGGGTGTATTCAGGAGATGTCTGTGGACATCCCCAGGGTGGCTGGAACCATGGTGACCATAGTACATAGACAATGGGGAGGGGCCACACTAGAAAGTTCTATAAGGGGCTAAAAGTACTGGAAGGTGGCTCCAGAGGGAGGGGACAGGTCAGGGCCTCCAGGGCCACCCAGTGATGGACTACGTGTGACAGGTTGTAAGTGCCTGCTCTCTTGTCTTCTGGCCACAGGTTCCCCATCTCAGGCCTGGGAGAGTGTGTCTTCGTGGAGCCCACCAGGTTGGTGTCAACGGAGTGTCTGATGACCCGGCCCTGGGTGTGCAGCAAGATGGCCTACACATGACGTGGGTCAGGCCAGCAGTGGCCCTCCAGTCAGGCTCTGAGACCTGCCTGCCCTAGGTTCCTCTCCCAGGCAAAGCAGTGAGGGGGGGTGGGCCTCTGCCTCGGCCTCTGCTCCAGGCCACACAGCCCTGGTTCCTGGTCTCCTCGGCCCCAGGCAGGTCCTGTGGCTTAGCAGTCAAATCCCACATGCTCAGTAGTGTAGGCATCTCCCAAACACACACACGCACGCATGCACAGGCATGCACACAGTCTCTTCTGGAGTTCAGAGTCCAGCCTTAGTCACCCCAAGTCCCTTCCTGGTCCCACGCTGGAATATTTCTTCCCCATGTATCCCTGGTGCTTGGAGGAAGGATGGGCACTGACACAGATTGCATTACTGTCTGCACAATCATTTCTCTCCTGGGTGCTGGGGAGGCAGGGAGGGTGGACTGCCCCACATGGGGCCCCCTACAGCCACCCTCTTGGCCTTGCCCAGGGTTCCCAGGCAGGCCCCTGCTGTGTCTGTGGTGCTGTCGTGTTGGTCACTGATGGAATAAAGAGATGACTGGCATCTAGAAAAACCTGCTGCCATTTGTTCTGGGGTTATGGCTTGGGGGAGGGACAGAGGGCCACATCTCTGGGTACCTGTCTGGGAGGAGCCACCACCAAGGTGGCACTGAGGACAAAAACACGTTCTGTGGCCTCAGGGCACCATTTAATTCTACTGGGCTACTGAGTTATTCTTAGATGTCTGACGGTGTGCTCCATCTGGTTCCTTCATTACTATTCAAGTCAGTATGACAAACATTTATTCACATCACACCTACCACGTGCCAGACACCATGCCAGGCATGGGGATCAACAGTTTTATCCCCCAGGGAGCACACAGGGAGCAGAGGCAACAACTTATGAAGTGCCAGAATGTTCTGGAACACGGTTGAGGGATGATTTCTTCTGCCTTAGGGGAGAAGGCGGTGCAGGGAGCAGGAGGATTAGCCCAGCAGAAAAGCTGATGTTCATGGTGAGTGGGATAAGAATGCATGCAGGTCCTATGGCCTTTTCTTCCTTGGTCGGCCTAGGGAGGAGTTGAGGGTCTGGCCGCTTCCTGGGCCTGTGGAGGCTCCAAGTGGTGCCCCCCAGCACAATACACCTGGAGCCCCAGAACTCGCCCCGGTGGGGTTCGGGCCTCCCCAGCCTCCTCTCTGCAGCTGGCTCTGGCTGAGATGCGGGCAGCCTGCCTGTGAGCAGGGTGTAGGGGAATCTGGGTCATGGCCCATTTTCAGAAAGTAGATCAGAGGGAAACCAGGTCCTGCTTTGCTCTGCTCAGTCCTTTTACTGTTGGTTTGTGGACAAAACTGTCAGCTGGGTTTTGCTGAACTTTCCACATGCTTCCCAGATATCCAGTAAAATACTGGCAATTTTGTGATTTCCTATTTTGTCTTTGGTGGGAAGCCAGTGAGGAACCAGAGAGACCAATAAAGAGGTGATAGTCATTCAGTGCTGCGGTGGCGCTGGTGGGGGTGTCAGGAAGCTCGGCACCTTCCCAGTGCGGGTGGGGGCGCTGGTGGAGCCGCTGAGGACTGAGGTAGCGGGCGGTCGGCTGCACAAATGCTACTTGGGGAACGGGGCGGGAAGGACCAGGGTGTCTCCTTCCCACCTATTACGTCGGGCACAGGCCCGTGGTCCTCACCAGGATCTCCCCATCAAGGACGGTGAGGCTCAAAAGCCTCGCATGTGGTACCCACAGAAATGTCCGAGGCAAGAAGTGCTGCCACAGGCAGTGAAACTGTGCCTGGCAGGTCCCGAGGCCCCGGGGAGAGTAGCACCCGGCCAGGGCTTCTGAGCGGTGAACTGTGGGGAGAACGGGCAAGGAGGGGGCAGGAAGGCAGCAGCGTGACAAGGCAAGGGACGATGAACCCATGCATTCAGATCTCACCTCTTACTCAGGTATCCAAAGCCTGCCACCTGCGGCTTCCAGGTACACACTGGCCAATAAGCTCTCCTGACCTTGGATTCCTCCGGGCTAAATCAGTTTAGCAGCTAAAGGAACCCTGACTCGGGGTCGCCAATGCTTTTCGGTTTTCCTACCTGGTTCATACCAAGGAGGGACCATACCAAGCACAGGATAGGAACGAGACACTGGCCGCCAGACTTCAGAAATGTAGGCGATTCTTCCCCAGGTGAGAACTGGCTAGGAGCCTCGTGCTCCCACGTGGGCTGAGCCCGGCCGGCCAGCTGCAGCGCCCGTGGCAGCCGCCCCGAGGGTAGGCACCCCGCCCCACAGCTCGGCGCTGCAGCGCACCTCTCCCTCCACCTGGAGGGCCCAAGGGAGCACCTTTCCCGGGGCCCCACTCCTTAGTCCCCCTGTAGAAGACTTTGCCCTGCAGAGGCATCCCCCCTGGTGTTGAGTGTGCTTACCTTGGGAGCCCGGGCTGCTGCTCCCTGGGTGGATTGGAACCCAGATCCCAGATACCAGGCCCATCCTCAACGAACCGCTGGAACGGCCAGGGCTCCGGTAGAAGGCTAAGCACGCACCCCGGGCCTACTCAGATGGTCTCTGTGCAGGTGGAGGACGAAAGGGAGGACCGTGTAGGCCTACGGCGCTCTGCTGCCAGGTCACCCGGTGTCTGCTTAGTCTCCCTCCTCCCTGCAAGGTCAGCATTGCCTGCCCACGCTTACAGGTGAGGAACAGACTCAGGGAGGTTAAGGGACTGGCTGCATATCACATAGCTAGCAGGTGGCGGAGGTGGGATTTGCACCCACACCCACCACACAGGGCCCTTGGGAAGCCACTTATGTGGCAACATGTCCCTTGCCTAGCCAGCTCTGAGGCCAGCTCTGAGGAGGGATGGTTGGGAGGGTGCATGTATGTGCAGGTGTGGGGCCACCCTGGGAAAACAAGTTGGATGCCCCCAGGCAATTCTTTTTCTGGACACTTTTGTCTCCAGATGATTTTCATATGGATCACCCACCAAAAGTGGGGGTAATGCATATAATGCCTTCTATCCTTTTCTTCCCTCAAGGTCTGCCTAGAGCCTCCCTCCCACCTTCTAGGACAGCAGGGTCTCTTGGGGACCACTTCCTTCCCCCCCAAACTTCCCACACTTTGAGCCTCTCATGTGGCTGGAGTCTCCCACCTTGTCATCTGTGACTCCTCTCTTCACTTCATCTGACCACTCCATCACCCAGTTACAAACCCCCGGATGGTAGGGATTGTGTTGTGGGCCTCTTTGTAGCACACATAGCACCTGCTCAAAAGATGGTTCCCATGACGGTTGGATTGCTCACAGCGCCGTGAACTGTGTGCCCCAGCGGGAGATAGCAGAGGCTGCTGTGGTCAGCTTTGTCTTTCAGGTTCTGGTGGCCATGGCATGGTTTTAGAGGCACAGCAAAGATGTCTTTCATGTGTTTTGCTTCAATTAAATGAGCTCACTCACATTCCTTAAGTGTGCACATACCAGGTGGGCTGAGTGGCGGTGGCCCAGAGATATAGCGGGGGAGAGCTGCCTCAGCCTCGGAATGTCCTCTGCATCCTGCCCAGAGCCCCACTAATGAGGACGTGGCTGTGAATGGAAACCAGGCATCGCTGACTGGGCTTGGCTGCTGATGGCTCTGGTGTTCACCAGGATAACCGTGCTAACGTCACCGTGTCATTCTGTAGAAGGTGACCTGGTTTTCCAGAAAGGCCTGCTGAATGCTTACACGAGGAGGGGGTGGAGGTGGGTGCGGCACCTGCCTCCTTTCTCTTCTTGGTCTGCAAACAGCTCCAGGTTGTAAGTATAGGACTCAAACTGGGGGCATCTGGAAAGCCTCCTGCCATCTCCATCAGAGATCCCTGCTCTCTGTCAGGGCGCTCCGGAGTGGAGACAGATGAGGTGTGGCTCCAAAGACCTGCTGGAGAGTAGTCTGGGGCTAGCTCTGGTGACAAGCAGCCAAGGAGCTCAGGCCGCTGTGCTAAACCTCTCCAACCCCAGACTTCACCTCTCTAAAGCAGAAATTATGCCTGCCCTGTCTGCCTCACACGTATTTGAGAATTGTAGGGTTTAGAATTTCAGGGGTTGGAAATTATCTACCCCAGTCTCGCGATTCATGAGGCCCAGAGAGGTTAAGTAACATGTTCAGGGTCACACAGCTAGTGGTATAGCTAAAACTCAGGTCTTGTGGCACTCCTGTTCCCTGTTTATACTTTTTTTTTTTTTTAAATTTTTTTTTGTTTTATTTATTTATGATAGGCACACAGTGAGAGAGAGAGAGGCAGAGACACAGGCAGAGGGAGAAGCAGGCTCCATACACCGGGAGCCCGACGTGGGATTCGATCCCGGGTCCCCAGGATCGCGTCCTGGGCCAAAGGCAGGCGCCAAACCGCTGCGCCACCCAGGGATCCCATTTTTTTTTTAATTTTTTTTTGTGTTTATACTCTTATTATTGCATGTGTGATGCTTTGTTTACTTGTTCACCATCCTTGCAGCAGAAGTATAAGGATGGCGAACAAAGGATCCTCACACTTCTTTGTTTCTCCAGCATCTGGTACATATAGACGGTGCTCAATAAATATTATGTGTTGAACTAAACTAACCCTGACCACTAGTTCCAATGCTCTTTCCTCTATACCATGCTATCTCTGATCCTGGAAACCTCTGTTTCCAGCTCAGCCTCCCACAAAGTATGAAAACTTGCACATGTTTTAGAGAAAAAGATAATCAATATGCTCAACGGCCTCACAATTCCTGTAGTTTATAGCATAGAACCTATCTAAGCAAATACATACACATCTAAGACAAATTGGGATAACAATGACAACTAATACTAATTAAGAGTTGATATGGGCCTGGCACTGTGCTAAGCACTTTACACATGAAGTACCAGGCTCAACGTAAGTGCTTAAAAAAAGATGTTATTGGGGCCCATGGGTGGCTCAATTAAGCCTTGAACTCCTCCTATCTTGGCTTGGATCTTGATCTCAGGGTCTTGATCCAGAGTCATGAGTTCGGGCCCTGTGTTGGGCTCCCCACTGGGCATGGAGGCCACTTAAAAAAAAAAGGTATTACTATCTTTTTAAATTATAATGTAAGTTGAGTAGTACACTAGAGTATGCTAGCTTCAGCAGTAATGCCCAAATTTCAGAGGCTAACAAAGTAAAGATCTTTTTTCTCTTTGCTCATACCATAGACTAAGCAGGTCAGGGAAAGGAACAGCTTTGCTCCATCCAGGGCCTTTGGATGTAGCTGTTCACAAAGGATGTGTTTCAGAAGATGTGGTAGACGTGACTGCCGTGCAAGCCTTTTCACTTCCCTTCTGGGTGCATGGAAAGATCATATTTCTCAGGCTCTTTGAAGCTAGTGACTTGCTTTAACCAAAAAAAAAAAAAAAAAAAAAAAATACACGTCATTTCTAGGTAGAAGCATTTAAGAGCCAATGCACACTTCTTCATATATTCCCTCCTCTTCCCAACCTTGATTTGTTGGTTTGGAAGTTTCATACAGCTGAGACATCCTGGAATCCTGGAATGCTAAGTTGCTATGTAGGGGACAGGTTTCCTGGACACTTGTCTGGCTGTGCAGCAACCTGTG